AGGTCGCTCAAAAATTAAGTAAGATGTATGCCGTTTGTATTAACAACAGATCCAGTTACTTCTAAGCAGGTTAAACAGTCTTGGTATTTATCTTCTCTGGACAGATATGAAGGAAGAAATCCTTTGTAGTTTCATTACTTTCTTTTTAGGACTTTTTTTTTTAATTTTTTAACATTCCAAATTCCAAATACTTTTAGTTCTTCAATCCTGTTTACAGGTGCTAAGTACAGATTTTTATCTATTTTACTCACTTTCAAAAAAGCACCCTATTCACTCACCTTAACCAGGAATTTGTCATCATTTAAGAGTAAAAACAGACTCATTCATCAATTCTCCCCAATAACATATTGTTGATTCTCCACCATACACTTCAGTTAAAGTCAAATAGTCATGTGTCTTTAATGTAATTAAAATTCTTGATATGTAACAATATGTACTACTAATTAATAAAATCTTTGGCCAGTGGTCATAGTATTAAATATATTCATCAGAAGGTAATATAATGATTTCCTACTTTAATCTCTAATACATTGCTTTCCACCAAAAATTCATAAGAAAGACCTTGTTTGAAAAATATTTGGTTTGTTTTTAATATAGATCAATACTGGCATATTTTCAGTACACACAATTCCATTTCGTAAAATATAGGTTTTGTTAGGAACAATGATTTGCCTACTTAATGACAACATTTATTTTCAAAACAAAGATACATTTATATATCTTTATCACTAAATGGGCTTTTCAGAAAATAATGTTGACACTCATAATGTTCAAGAATAAGCTTGCGGAATGAAATAAAATTATTGAACAATACCAGAGTCATACAATTATCATCTCCTTGGCTTAGAATTTTTTTTAAATATTTTCAGTGGCTTTATTTATGACTAAAATTCTCCCTACCTGTAACTAATATTTTTGGTTTCTAGTTCACAATTAGTCTTTTGTCTAATCTCTGTTATCTAGTTTTACACATGTCTAACATCTATTACTAATTACAAATCTACAACTCAGTACAATAAAATGTATATTACTAGAGCAAAAACATGATTTTAAAATGCCCTTTCCTGAAACTTTGCATCTTTTCCTCACCTATGTCACTGCTAATGAAAATTTAGGAAATGGATTATCATCTTTAGCTAAGTGCTTTGGTGTATCAAACACTAGCAGTGGCTAGCTAATGTGATATTAAATAGCCAGTGGAACATGATCTGTTTCATTCTATATTACATACATATATATTTACTATTTTCCTAATGTTTCCATGTAGCTTTTATAGTGGCAGAATGAGTGTGCTCCCTTGATAAACAGCTCCTTTAGAAATAGATAAAAGTACCTGAAAAGTGACACATTTGAAATTTAGTGAGACTGCTATGTAATTGTTAAGACTGACTGTAAGTATAATTACTACTGAAGTTGTAAAAACTAAAAATTCCTACATCTGTCCCACATCTCGCTTCTAGTTTCAAAGCAGCAGATACTTGTTTATTTGCCTCATATTATTCATCATCATGTTGTCTTTCATTTGTTATAAATAGCAATAGAAGCAAAGATCATTAGAAACAGATATATTAAAAACCAAATCTTAAGTCACCAAAGACCATATAACTTTCATTTCTAACAAATCAACATAAAATATTAACTAATAAAGATACACTTTTTAGAAATGGAGAATAATCTTCAACATAAAATGTTTCCATGTTAATGTTCCCACTTTCCTGATAAACAATTACTAACATAATTAAAATATCCAGTTTACATTATCATTATGATTATTATTCTGAATTTCAAGTTCTAAATGATTCACGGTAGTCCTACAAAGAAGAAATGCCCTTGCTAAATATTTTCCCACCATTATTTTTGCAAAATCCTAACCATTAATTCATGTGATGAGAAGTTTCAATAGACTGTGAACATTTGCCAAATTAACAACTGAAATGAAGATTACAAAAACATCTAGAAGATGAGAAGTTTCAAAGTAGTATAAATATTATCTTTCAACAGATAATCAAAATTGTCACAAAAAAGTCAATTAAAGACTTTAGAAATGACAACACAATTCACAAAAATAATCACACTGTAAAATGTGTGCAAAGGTACATAATATTTTCCACTAACCTCTGTAAAATAGATTTAGACAAAACACTTAAAATCACTATTATGAGGCATGGAGAAAATATTTTATTAAAAAAAAGCCCTCTACCCTTAAGAGCCACACATTATAACTGACAAAATCTCAGCTTTAAGTATGGCCTCTGAATTCAGTTTTCTTAAGTATGAAATCATAGTACTTAAGTTCAGTGTATAATAATTTTACATAGTAAAAGTACAATACTTGGAAGTTCTGCAAGAAAAAACTGTGCAACATAGCTTCATTTTTGTAGGTTTCTTTATGTCTGCAAAATTACATGGCATGTTAAGACCACAGATATTAAGCTGTTTGTAGTAAAATCCACTATTCGCAAACTGAGGGCTGGTGAGCTTTCCTTTGATTTTGCTCCATATTTACAGGCTCCATAATAGTAGACAATACTTATATCAACAACAATAGTTATTTCTGACTTCAAATATTCATTTTATCACCAAATCCTATTGCCCTCCATTACCACTTCTCCCAAATCTACAATTTTCGTTCCTTCAGTTGCATGCTTACTCCTAACCCTAGACTTTTCCCCTTAAACTATTGTACTTCATTCTCATGAGATAGTTTCTGTAGATTATCCTTAATTCCACTGCCAAAGTTAACTTCTCTCCCTGTCTCTCACAGGCATTCTGCCTGTGCCATCTACCTATCCTACCTGGGCATCCCAGGGCATTTACATTACATTTTTGTTCTGCTCAATAGCATCATCCTCACCAACAAACTCATTTATAAGGTTGCTACTGATTTTCAACTCCCCCTAAAAAATGCCAGTTTTGCCTTACCTCTGGTAAATGTACCAAATTCTCCCTTCACATTTCCTAATTCATCTTAATATGGAATACCTTTTACATTTAGCTCTCAATCACACGAGTAATTTATTTAGATAATTTTAGTACGAAAATTACATACACTGTTTCTTTAGTTGCTTGTATATGTTATCCCTATAGGACTGCAGAGATACAGATAAAGCATTCTGTACAACAGCCATTTACAGTGTCACTTGACCCAGGTACGATGATTCACTAAACAAAACTATTAGAGAAAGCTTAAATAAACAAATGGAGTTTTTTAATCTCTATGGTTTAACTTCAAACATCTATGACCTTTGATTTTCATAGACAACGAACATATCTTAGTTTCTATTAAGCTTCACTCTCACTACTCTATTAATGTTCAAAACATGGCTAGAATTTAAAGTGCAAGATGAGGGTTGATATAGGGTATACACTTTTACACCCCGCGATTAGATTCTATGAAAATCAGCAATGTCAACTCCAAGATTTCTGAAATACAACTGAAGGCTTCCGCACCATAAGAAGAGAACAATGTATCTTCTAATTTGGGGCGGGGGAGGAGGGAATCCCTTCCCTGCGACTGATTTAGAGTAGTTTACTGCAGGTGCTTTCAATTAGGAAAATTCAGTAAATCACTATTAACATCTGTAAAAAAAAATACCAGAGAAAGGCAACCCATTTATTTAAAAGAGAGGAAGAGGTGCCAATGATAGCTCCTTTCCATAAAACTCAACAGCCAAATTAAGCTTTGCATCCTGTATCTATTATCAGAGATATTTTTTTCAACCTAAATAAAAAGCAAGTCTCATTCAATTTAGTCCCTTCTCGAGCACTGTCTCAACCTGTAAGAATTTGACAAGGGGAAAAAAAATCGTGTGTGTGTGTGTGTTGTGTGTGTGTGTGTGTGTGTCGGGGAGGGGGGTGTGGAGACACTAGGATTCCCGTCTACATTGCTTCCTTTCCCGAAATCACATCAGTAAGTCTTCGGTTTTCTTCACTCCCAACTAAGCCCTCAGGTTTCAAATATAGTTCTTTTACCCCCACCTCCCATTCAATTACATATAAACCTTGCCAACTACACAACCACAGCAGAAACCTCTACAAATCGGCTTGCTATTCATCTCAGAAGTCGTGCCCTGCAGCAACTGCCTAGCCAAACTGAGGGATATTACCCAAATACAACGCAACGGAATCAGACATGCAGAGCACACACGGCTTCCGCGAGGGAGGGAAACGCGACCCGGAAAAAGTGAGCCCCTCACAAGCCTGGGGACCATCGGGGGATGGGGGGAGCGGAGGAACCCGAGAAATGGAATTCTTCCTCTCAAGTAAAATGGGCTGGATCCCTGGCCGCAGGCTACAGCCGGTCCTTGAAAGGAAACGAAGAGGTGGGCAGAGGGCCCTTCGCTCAGGAAAGCGGAATGCAGACACTTTCCGAAGTCCGGGTGCAAGCAGATCCCCCACCTCCCGTGGGAAACGAGGGGGGCCCCATGGGTGGCAGAGGGGATGCCCGGCTCGCGAGGGGCAGCGGGACGCGGAGCAGAGTTTCTTTCGCCTAATGAACACCCGCGTCGTGTCAGGCGGGTGCCCCGCGAAAGCACCGCGAGAGCGGCGCGGGGCCGCCCGGGTGGTGGGGAAGGGACAGAAGGGAGGGGGTGGAAATGGGATTCCCCCCTCTCTGGGACAAGCAGTAGTGGAGGAAGCGCGCGGGCCAGCGGAGAACCGCGTGCTTGAGACTGCGGAGCCGGGATCCCGCCGCCCGCACCAGCAGCAAGGAGCCCCGCAGAGCCCGCCGCACCGGCTCCTCTGTCCCCAGGGGCCAGGGACTTCGGCTGCGAAAGCACTGAGGCCTGATATCCCACGGGACCGGCCCCAGCTCCCGGGGGGGCCCGCGGGAACACCCCAACCTCCAGCAGTTCTCTTCGGTTGTAAAACGTCCCCCCATCCGTCCCCCTCCTCAGCCTTCTCTCCTCCCCAGGCCGCAGAGAAGGGTCTCCACAGGCGAGAAGCCTGAGGCAAGTCAGGGACAGCGGCTGCGGCGGTCCTGGACCTCCTCCCCCGGTTACCTGTGAGGACTCCGACACGGATTTGATGATCGTGGTTAGTGAGGATCATTCCCTCGGTCGCCATGTTTCCCAGCGCAGTCACCGCACTGACAGGAGCCGGGAGAAGCCGGAGCCCGGAGCGCGCGGGCCGGGAGCGCGCTCGCCTCGGAGAGCG